TGCCTTGGTCTATTACTGTTCACTCTAGTCTATTACTGTTCACTTGAATGGATAAATACACTAGGTGCTGGCGTAAAGTCCTTAGGGGTGGACTTGCTCTTATGTGTTGGTCAGGAGACTCTGAGCCCAAGCTCAGGAGATCCAATTCCCCAAAATAAAATTGAACCAATGATGGGAAATATTCAGGATAGGCTGAGTCGTAGAGCATTAGGGCTGAGTCGTAGAGCATTTAGGCAACTACCCAATAGCTCAAGACCATTTTGGACAAGTTTCGTATTCTTTTGTTTGGTTAATGGGCTTAGTTGTTTGGTTTTGGTCTAATAATTGGGCCTTCAATTGTCAAGTCTGGTTTTAATGCAATGGGCCGCATATTGGCTCTCATATTAAACCCAATTACACGGAAAAGCCCAAACGACGAGAAAGCCTCTGAAATTGCCATAGCCAGAGTTCCCTTCAGTCTCGAGTCCTCAGCCTCCATCCACCAGACCCGAAATCAGGACCCCAAAAACGCCGCCGTCAACCTCCGCAAGTAAGTAGTTTCTGGGTTTTCCTCCTACTACTGTTTTCTCATCATCTATATTGTTTCACTGTTTCCGTTAACTGGTTGGATGCGTGTTCTGTGCCATCCAATAATTTGTAGAGCACTCTAGGTGTTTGCGTAAATGCCCCAAAGAAGTTTACTTTGTGTTTGTGTTGGGATTTCAGCGTGAAATGGTCTTAGTCTTTTCTGGCATTTGGTTTTCTGATGTCCTTGCACTGTTGTGCAGAAATCTGAGCACGATGATCCAGGTGGCAAGGTATTTCAAGAGAACACTCTTTTCTGCAGCTAAATCGGAAACTTCTGCTGCGGCTTCGGCGGCTAGGTCGACGGAGTACAACCCTCTTGAGGAGTTCTTTGAGAAAGATAGAAGCCAAGAGGAAGAAAAGCCAGTTGTCTACGGTACGTTGTTTTCATTTCCATTGTTTATGGATGTTAATTACCTATGTACATTTGGAAAAATTCCATTAATACCCAAGTTTTCATCTTTCTGTAGAACGAAGCTGCTTTTGTTCATGTATCTTATTCGAATAGCAAATACGAAATTATATTGTGTTTTCAGAATCGAATTATTATGCTGATTTCGTGTACAAAAATACTGTTAGTTAAGCAATGGAGAGAGTTTATGCTTCCCTTATGAGTTTTCATGTTATTATACTCACATCGCAAGAGATTTTTTGGATAATCGTGCGGTGCCCAGCTGCTTCTTTTCAGTGTATTGTTGTTTTGCAAGTTATGCGCAGAAATTCTAGCACGAATATAAAGTTTAAGCATTACTTTACATATTATTGGTTATTTCCCTTTTCAATTGGTATGTATTACATGTTAATTATGTGAAGGGTTTCTTCTCTTTTAACCTCCATCCTTTTATTCTTTTGATTTTCTGATGTCACTTTGTGCAATGCATTTCTACAACACTTTTGGATGTAATCTGAATTACTTCACTGAAGATTCTTATTTTGATACTTCCCTCACTGTCAGGTCGAAGTTGGAAGGCAGCTGAATTGCGTCTGAAGTCTTGGGATGATCTCAATAAGTTATGGTATGTTCTGCTTAAGGAGAAAAACATGCTGATGACTCAACGCCAGATGCTTCATGCCCAGAATCTCCGGTTTCCCAATCCTGAGCGCCTTCCCAAAGTATGACCCTTTCTTTTAACTATTTTTTATGTACTTGTCTTAATACTGGGGAAGTTTTCCAAACATGTTTTTTGCACGAAAACTGGTGCCTTTCCTTCTTTTTCAACTCCTACTTCTGACTTTCTCACTATATTCATCTATTTGTTCAGTATGTTCAGTATGTTCAGTTATATCCATATTTTTTACTTGCAAAACCAGTGTCATTACCTGGCTACTAGAAGTCAATAAGCAACACCTGTGCTTGAACCATGTTGCAGCAGACTCTTTCTTTTTGTTGGATTCTCTACATTTGAGTATTAGTCTATTAGATTAGATATTTGTTTGTTTTATATGCTGGCATGATACCGCTTACATACAATGTGAAGTATGTCTTCAAACTACTGGATAGCAAATGTTCTTTTACAGTTTTGTTTTAATTGGTTGCTTCAGCGTGATTCCACAAAAGAAAAATATCAGAAAATGGGAGCTATAACCATTTAGAATCTACTTTGTTGTTCTGGCCAAGTTTTCTTTCTTCTCGTAGTACTAATGTCATCGTGAAATTCAGGTGAGGAAGTCAATGTGTCGTATCAAGCATGTTCTCACTGAGAGAGCAATCGAAGAACCAGATCCCAGGAGGTCTGCTGAGATGAAGAGGATGGTAAATTCTCTGTGATAACCTATCAATCTCTGGAGTCAACCGTGTATTGGATATGCCAGTGCAATGCCGACGCTGCCTTCCTTTTCTTCTTGTAGGACTAGAACTTATAGTGATTCGATACTGTAAGTGTAGGAACAACTTGTAATCTGTTGTTGAATCTATGATGGTTTTGTTTTGCGTTTTGAGACCGTCTCACGACAAATGACAAATTTGTGGCCTTTGTTTACAAATAATCAATACTATTTCTTCCAGTTGCATTCTGATTGCTTCAAAATCTACTTGTTTCTACATGCTAGGAGTCTAGGAGCCAAGACCTCATGCCAAATATGGTATTTCATAATACCATATTCTAGAATAAATTAGAATGCATGGTTTCTACGTGCTAGGGGCAAGGAAGCGTTGCTCTCGGTTTCATACAGCCAACCCTACTTAGTCCTTTGGTTTCATACAGCCAACTCTACTTAGTGAGATAAATTAGATGCATCATTTCTATGCCAAACAAACGATGGTGACTGCATACTCTCTTATTTATTCACTTCAATTTTAAATTCAATTTCTTATTTTTATTCCCTCCTCCATTCCCTCCACCAACCTAATATTCCATGCATCTCCAACCATCTATATTTTTCCACATATTCCATAGCACTTGTTACCAAATTCTTATGGTGTATATGTACATATTATATGTATATATAATCTGTATGGCCATGACATTATACCCGCAACCACAAGTTGCCTAAACTATGTTCAAAAGACTAATTCTTTTGGAATAAATACTAATGATTGGATTTTAATCCAATGGTGAGTGAAAAGTGACTATAAGCTTTTGTGTTCACAAAATCATGGACACTAGGGGCGGAGCTTCATTGAGGGCTGGGCATACTTTGACTCGACTCGCTTTTTAAATATAAATATACGCATTTAAAGTTCAATTTCTATTTAATTCAATCTTATGACTTAACAATAACTTGACCCACGTCTCCAGCCCAGCTTACTTTGTCAACTTGACTCCTACCACAAAGGAATGGGGAAACGGAAGACATTTTTGTGCTTTATGATGTGAAAGAAATAGAATTTCAGAAAAAATTCAAAAATTTAGATAGACTGTTTTCACAAAAAAACAAGGCTCTTCAACCTTTTGTGATAGTAACCTAACTAGCTAATTCTACTTAAATGTTCTTGTTTTTTTTTTTGAACATGTTATAAATATATAAAAGTTAGAGAGATAACCTTTACTAGTGACAGGAGTGAAGCAAGTGTAAAATATCACGCTGAAACTATAGCACTAAGGGATGACAAATCAAATAGGGAAGAATAGATGATGTTATTAATATTTCTTTCTTTATGTATGTGTTTTTTTAAAGCATACGGAGTGCTCTATTTATAGAGCAACTCCAATACTGATGCATTAATTATACATTGAAAATTTATAGCACCCTTTTGGAAAATGTGATCTCCTGCATCCCCAAAGTCAATTTCAATTTGTATGTTTTCAATATCACTATGGGCATTCACTAACCCACCAGCATTTTTAACATAACAAACAATATTATCTACAATAAGTGAGATGACTTAGTCTCACAATAAGCTTGCAATAATGTAGTTCAAATTCGTTGTTGACACTAAAATTACCGGGTCCAAACTTCATCGCAAACCCTCAAAACAAGTTATTGATTTAGCAAAAAATAATACAAAATAAAAACTTCCTTTAATTTCTATTTGTTTATTTATGAAACCCCAAAAGGCAGATGGGTATGTTCAAAAACAGAAAAAAAAAAAAGCACATAGGTTACAAAGACCACATGATTTATGTAGACAAAAAAAAAAAAGAAAAAAAAAATATTCATGGCAGAGACAGAAACATTTACATCACCCACCACTTACCACCTTGCTTTTAGTTATGTGTTGGAACAACCCAAGACAACCTTAACTTCTCCATCAGACTCTCCCTCGTGGGAATTGCAGTTACTAACCCCCACCCCAAATTACCCTCTTACCCCTCCCTTGACAGCTTCATTTGACCCCATCCAATACCATTGACAGCTTCACACGACAATAATATGTCACACCACGCTTTACCAACGTATTGAAAAAATTTATATCAAACGAATTAACCAGCATTTGACGTTTTGTTTTGTTAATGCATTATCCTTTGTTTATGTAACAATGTATTAGTGAACACAAAAATCACGGCAATAATATACTCGTTCTATAAATGCTGCTCTCTAAAACCTAAATAACCTCGGTGTTTACGAATAAAATATAAAAAGCAATAGTTTAATAAAAATACAAAAAAAATTTCACTACTGGATGGTCCAGTGGTTAGAAACGAATTTCAAGTCCGTATTCCACACATTACGTTTGATGGCCAAGAAGAGGTTGAAATGCCTATGTGAGTCTTATCGACCTTCAAAATAGTTTGTCGTGGCAAAGTCATTAGTTGATCCTTTTAAAATAATAAAAAATACAAAAATTTTAAGTCACAAGTAATCAATGACCATGAGATGCCCCTCTAGAAATCCCAAAAAATCAGAAGTCAAATGGGGACAAAACGGTCAAACACAAATCCGAGCCACGGTTCTGAGTCCCTGCAAGTGAATCCAGTCCAGTCACATATTCTAATTCTTAAAAAAATTAGGGGCACATTGTTTTTGTCATATCACTCGCGGGTGAGGTTACACTTCACTCTGCCCGGTCTGCCCGATCTACCCGCCTGCCCGAGACTCTGCAGCTTTGCTCTCGCTACCAAGTACACCTTTCCCTTTTGCCGTCTGGCTCTTTCTCTACGACTTTCTCTCTCTGAAGTAGATCGAAAGCCGGCTCGAAATCGGGACTTCTTGTTGGATCTGACCTTCAATTAGATCGGGACTTGTTGTCTGGGATCCTAGAATCATCGCAATTCGATTTGGATTTCGGAGTTTCTGTGCGCTCGGATTCGTTTGGGGGGCAAAATTAGGGTTTCATTTCGGGGGAAGCAGTGAATCCGGGGCTTCGTTGAGGGCGGATGGGCGGAGAGGTGTGGAAAAGGAGGGGTTTTGGCGGGAATTGAGGGGCGAGATTGATGGTCTTTGTTGGAATTGAAGGAGGGATCGCGGTAGGGATTGGGGAAAATGCAAGGCTATGCATGGGAGGGGAAGTGAGGAGAGGAAACGGAGTTGGCACATGTTGAAAGTCCCCACGCGTGTATGCGTGGCCAATGGTTCTTCTTCATCACCCTCGTCTTTACCCAATTCGTTTTTCAAGGTTTGGCTTTCTCTGCTGGTTTTTTTTTGTCTTTTGATTTTTGGGTGTGCGTTTTGTTTGCTTTTCGGGGTTTCGGATTAGGTGTTGTGATTGTTGTGTGTTATTTTGGGGGTGTTATCAGTGGAGAAGTGAAGTGGGGTTTTGCTTGTTTGATATGGATAACAATGTTATGGATTGAATTTTGCGTTAAGATGGATGTGTTGTTGACTTTGGGGTAGATAAATGAGGGAATTCTACCATGTTAGATATGAAAAGTAGCAGATGAAACAGTTTGTGAAATTGGGGAGAGGACTGTAAAAGGGAAGGTGCAAAGTTGGATTCGTAGTCGTATTTTTGGTGTGATTTGTAGTTGTCAGGGATCTCTATCACAGGGGAGGGGTATGTAACATGCCGAGTGTGAATTATTATGTGGGGTGCTGTAATGTGTCAATCTTTTTGGGAAGAATGTCAATTTGGTACCAAATTTTGGTATCAAAATTGGAAGAGTGATACTTTTTTATGGGTTCAGTTAAGTTCCCTTCTTTATACGAGGGATGGTTTTTCAGTCGTTGAGCAATTCCCATATCAAGTCATTGGTTCTTGGACCATGTGATGGTCAGAATATTGATGAGCGTTGACATACTGTTTATGATAATTCTCTCTTCTGTATGTATGTTTGATAACTTCATATTCTGTATGTAGCATTTTAATTCTTTGTTTTTAATATCTACTCGAGTCGTTTCCCTTATTATCATTCATTTAGATACATAAGTTGCAATGAGTGATAGATGCAATGAATCTGCTCAAGAGTTTTTCCCTTATTGTTAAATGGTTAGATAGTCTTAAATTTTCCCATAATAACGCTTTATTTTTCTTGCTGTTGTCAGTTTAATGACTCTTCTCTAGAAGGTACAGCAAAGCATTCTTTGCTGAGGGGATATTTCCGTTTTCGTTCTACAATTTTGCATTTGAAACTGACTTTCAATGAAAGTCTGTCATACCCATAGATTAATTGTGAGAAAGCTCCCTCTTTTAGGGGGAACTGAGAATGGAAGTGCTGCTTGGGCATGGTGTTATGCTTGGCCATCATGCTACACCATCATAAGGCTCCTCTGATCATCTGAACTTCATTTTTGTCATGCATATTATTTGTGGTGTATGCTAATTATTCAAGATGTTTCCCATATTTTCTGCACATTTGCCTGTGCTAACCGGCATAATGCTCCTCTGAACAACTTCATTTTTGTAGGACGGGCGTAAGATCAGTGTTGGCGATTGTGCTCTTTTCAAACCACCCCAGGATTCTCCACCCTTCATTGGAATAATTCGTTGTGTGACTACAGGCAGAGAGAAGAAGTTAAAATTAGGTGTTAATTGGCTTTATCGACCTTCTGAAATAAAGCTTGGCAAAGGCATCTTGTTGGATGCTGCGCTGAATGAAATTTTTTATTCCTTTCATAAGGATGAGATACCTGCCGCATCGTTACTTCATCCGTGTAAAGTCGCGTTCCTTCCTAAAGGTGTTGATCTTCCGTCAGGGATTTCATCTTTTGTGTGCCGGCGTGTTTATGACATCACAAATAATTGTTTATGGTGGCTAACTGATCAGGACTTTATTAATGTGAGTTTAGATCATTTCCACATTCTCTGGGTGTGCTCATATGTTTAAACGTTCAGAGTAATTGATATTGTTTCTTTTGACAGGAGCGACAAGAGGAAGTAGATCAATTGTTGTATAAAACTCAAGTAGAAATGCATGCAACTGTGCAGTCTGGTGGCCGATCCCCAAAACCATTGAATGGTCCAACATCAGCATCACAGTTAAAAGTTGTGTCAGATGGTGTCCAGAATAGTGGCTCATCTTTTTCCTCTTTAGTTAAGGGGAAGAAAAGGGAGCGGGGAGATCAAGGATCTGAGCCTGTCAAACGAGAACGCACTATGAAAACAGATTATGGGGATTCTGGCAGCTTTAGACAGGAAACCACTTTAAAATCTGAAATTGCCAAAATAACAGAAAAAGGAGGCCTTTTAGATTCTGAAGGGGTTGAGAAATTGCTGCAGCTCATGATACCTGATGAAAATGAGAAAAAAATAGACTTGGCTGGCCGGTTAATGCTTGCTAATGTCATAGCAGCCACAGATAAATTTGATTGCCTTAGTCAATTTGTACTCAAGGGTGTGCCAGTATTCGATGAATGGATCCAAGAGGTTGGACATAAAGGGAAGATAGGTGATGGGAATGGACCCAAAGATAGCGATAAATCTATTGAGGAGTTTCTCTTGGTTTTACTTCGGGCACTGGATAAGCTGCCTGTTAATCTTGAAGCTCTGCAAATGTGTAACATTGGAAAGTCTGTAAATCACTTACGGACGCATAAGAACTTGGAAATCCAGAAGAAAGTAAGAAGCTTAGTTGATAAATGGAAGAAACGAGTTGAAGCTGAAATGGATGCAAAGTCTAATTCAAATGCGGCTGTCTCCTGGTCTGCAAGACCACGCTTCCCAGAAGTTTCTCATGGTGGAAACAGGCATTCTGGTGGATCTGTTGATGTTGCCGTGAAGAGCTCAGTCACACAGCTCTCCATATCCAAATCTGCTTCAGTTAAGCTTGTCCATGGAGATGGTATTACCAAATCTGCTTCAGTATCACCGGGATCTTTGAAATCAGTTCCCTCACCAGTGTCAGCAAGTTCTAACTTAAAAGATGGACTGCCTCGAGTTGTTGCTGTTGGCGTCACAGTTGATCTTCCTTCGACAACTCCAAGGGATGAGAAAAGTAGCAGTTCTAGTCAATCTCACAACAACAGTCAGTCGTGTTCGAATGATCATGCAAGAACTGGAGGTATTTCTGGGAAAGAGGATGCGAGGAGCTCTACTGCTGGTTCAATGAATGTTAAGGTATCAGGTGGCTCTTCCCGACCTCGGAAATCAACAAATGGCTTCCCAGGCTCTGCTCTTTCTGTAGTTCAAAGGGAAACTTTGTCAAGCAGAAGTTCATCTTTGCACAAGAATCCAGTTCCAGAAAAATCATCACAGCCTGGATTGACGAGTGAAAAGGTACTAGATGGACCTTCTGCTGAGGGAAATGGACCCAAGTTGATTGTTAAGATTCCAAATTGTGGTCGCAGTCCTGCACAAAGTGGCAGTGGAGGTTCGTCTGAAGATCCTTTAAATACTATTAGCAGAGCTGCTTCTCCCATGCAAAAGGTTGAAGCTTATCGAGCCACTGTTACCTCAGATGTGAACAACGAATCATGGCAAAGTAATGATTTCAAGGATGTACTGACTGGATCGGATGAGGGTGATGGATCCCCGGCTGCTGTTACTGATGAAGAGCATGATAGGCCCGGTGACGACTCTAAGAAGATTGCCGAAGTCCCAAAAGCTGCTTCCTCGTCATCTGGGAACGAAAAGTCGGGGAATTTGCAGGATGCTTCTTTCAGCTCTATACATGCATTAATTGAAAGCTGTGCGAAGTATTCTGAAGGTAATGCCTCTTTGTCAGCTGGAGATGAGCTTGGTATGAATCTGCTTGCTAGTGTTGCTGGAGAGATGTCTAAATCTGAATCCCCAACTGATTCTCCTCAAAGGTCTACCCCGGTTTCTGAGTATCTCTGCAAAGGCACTGATCCCAGAGTCAAATCACCTCCAGTTGATGAGCTTGCTCGAGATGAAAATCAGTCTAATGATGTCGCTGATGATGAATGTGAGAACCACGGTGTTGCATTCACTACTTCTGGGGCTAAGAATGGGGTTGTCCAATCTTTTTCTTCCCTGCCTGAACAGTCTTCTGTAGCAGAGGACACTGGAAATCTATGCTCTTCAAATAGAAGTTTTCATCATTCTGCAGAACCCACCCCAGAAAGCAAAGAAAAATCTATGGAAGTTACTCTAGCTCCTTTTACTGCTTCCCCTCCTAGTACAGTTGAGAAAGCTATGGACGGTGAAGGAGTACCTCTTCAAGACAAAAAGGTGGTTGGTGGAGTGAGTGCTGATGTCATTTCAGAAAATAAGGTCAGTGATGTTAGTTCGAGGGTAGTAGTGGGGAATGAAGCCATTGAAGAACATTCCTTGCACCCAGAGTTTGATGTTGATGGTATGATAAAAACTTCAAGTTATGAAGGGAGTGTACATACGGAGGAGAAACCATCTAGTTTAAAGAAGCATTCTGAGTTGGTGAATGGAACCTGTGAAGAAGCGCTACTTTCTTCTAGTTTTCGTAAAGGTTTGATCTCAGAAAAAGTCAGTGAACTGAAGGCTGAAACAACTGATGAAAAGGATGGCCCGAGTTATTGTAATCAGGCTGAAAATCCCAGAATTGATTCAGAAAGTAATGGTCCTGGCACTTTGAAAACAGAAAATAATGATCTTACAACTCCTGGGAGTCAAGCTCTAGGTGGCTCTAGTTCCGCTGTTACTGATAATACCGGTGAAGATGTAGAGGAGAATATGAAAACTAAAGAAACTAATGATCAAGTTGTTGAACCTGGTATTAGGAAGGTGTCGCCTGATATTCCCATGCAGGAAGTAGAAGAATATTTGAGGCCGAAGAGTTCTAAATTAACCAACATGGAAGCAGAAGAAGCTGAGGAATGTACATCTACAACTGCAGATGCTTCTTCTGTGTCTGCTGCAGGGGCAGCAGTTGTGGATGCAAAAGTGGAGTTTGATTTGAACGAAGGCTTTAATGCCGATGATGGGAAATATGCAGAGCCAAATAATTTGACAGTACCTGGATGTTCAACTGCTCTTCGGTTGATTAGCCCGGTACCTTTTGCTGTTTCTTCTGTGTCTAGTGGCCTTCCTGCTTCAGTTTCAGTTCCTGCTGCAGCAAAAGGGCCGTGTGTTCCACCAGATGACCTGTTGAAGAGTAAAGGGGCGGAGGTTGGTTGGAGGGGATCAGCAGCTACAAGCGCGTTCCGGCCAGCTGAACCCAGAAAAGTTCAAGAATTTCCACTGGGTACAAGTATTTCAGTTCCCGAGCCTACACCGAGCAAGAAAGGACGCCCAGCTTTAGACATTGACTTGAACATACCCGATGAAAGAATTCTGGAGGATATGGCTTCTCAAAGTTCTGCTCAAGAGACATCTTCTATTGCTGACACAATAAACAATAAAGCTTTTGCGGGTGACCAGTCGATGAGTATTGCACCCGTTCACAGTTCTGGAGGTCTTGATCTTGACTTGAATCAAGTTGATGAGGCTTCTGAAATGGGCAATTATCCATTGAGCAATAGCCATCGAATGGATAACCAAATCCTATCAATAAAATCAGGTGGACCTGTCAATGGAGAAGTTAGTCTTTGTAGGGATTTTGATTTGAATAACGGACCTGTTGTTGATGAGTTGTGTGCTGAACCGGCAGTGTTTAGTCAGCATGCCATGAGCAGTGTACCATCTCAACCACCTGTATCTGGTTTTAGGATGAACAATACAGAAGTAGGGAATTTCTCATCATGGTTTCCTCCTAGCAATACGTATTCTGCAGTCGCAATTCCTTCAATTATTTCAGATTGTGGAGAGCAGCCATTCCCAGTTGTTGCAACTGGGGGACCACAGACGATGTTGGGCCCCCCTAGTGGTAGCAACCCATTTAACCCTGATCTGTACAGGGTGGGGTCGGTTTTGTCACCTTCCCCAGCAGTGCCCTATCCTTCTACTTCATTTCCATATCCAGTTTTTCCTTTTGGAAGCAATTTTCCTCTGCCCTCAGCCGCTTTTCCAGGCGGGTCAGCAACATATCTTGATTCATCATCTGCCGGGAGGCTTTTTCCTGGGGTTCGTTCCCAGCTGTTAGGACCTGCTGGTGTGGTTTCATCCAATTACCCAAGGCCTTATGTTGTTAATCTTCCTGATGGTAGCAATAACAGTAGCGGTGAAAGCAGTAGGAAGTGGGGAAGACAAGGGCTTGATCTCAATGCAGGGCCTGGAGGTCCAGACTTAGATGGGAGAGATGTGACATCACCTCTTGTCCCGCGGCAACTATCTGTTGCCAGTTCACAAGCCATGGCTGAGGACCAAGCAAGGATGTTCCAGATGCAAGGTGGCACCTTTAAAAGGAAGGAACCCGAGGGAGGGTGGGACGCCTACAGACAGTCCTTGTGGAAATAGGCATGTCTAATTGCAGAATTGGGCGACTCGTGAAAGCTTGTAAGTCTTCTATTATGTATTTTTCCCTCATGTATACAAGGTCTGGTAACCTGATTTGAGGGTTCAGGTTGCTGATTCTCATTTGACCTACCAAATATAATGTTTTAGGATTTCATAGCCGGGAGTTTCTTCAATCATCTTTCACATTTTGTCGTTCAGCTCCAGAACTTGTCAATTTACATGTCTTCTAACCGTCATCTGTAATATAGATTGATTTAGTCTCATAACATTAATAAAGAAACCGACGGCTGCCTGTTGTCATTGGAAATACTGGGAAATTTGTGAAAAAAAAACGTCATTGCATTGTATACAGTTTTTTTATCAATTGTATTCAAGGGAAATAGAAATAGGAAGACTCCGGAAAACAGAACTGGTGAAAGAGAATTGGAATTATGTAAAAGAACTAGGTTTTGTGCGTCCTGCCTTCCGGGAGCAGTTGAAAGTTTGTGTTGTACTTTACTTTTTCATTAATGAATTCGATGTCAAACCTAAGCTAATTATATTTGCCTCTCTTTATTTTCCAGTGCTTTGAGGATGGGCATTTGCTAACCCCCACGAGGTCATCATCTAAGCTTGTGTGCTTCCGGAGGATGGGCGGTAAGTGAGTTATTTGATGTTGTTCATGGTCTCCGACCCCCTCCTCTTTGATGTATCAGTTGTAATCTTAAAAGATATATGGGTTCTTCAAGCTGTTTGTTCCTTGAATTTGTTAGGCGGACGCGATCTTTGTTTCCGCTTTGTAGATATTCTAACAGTTAGAAAACATACTGTGGTTCCCATACACAATCTTTGGTGCCCCTATCGGTCTTCAATGCATTAGGTATAAACCCAAACCCATCCTCTCCGTTGCCAAACCTCTCCATTTGTCGATTTTTGACCGCTCAAAACAGAAGCTTCTGTGTTTATTTCTCTTTGATCACATATGCAAGCAGATCAACAAATTTTGGAACCTTTGGGTTGGTTTAGTTGCTCTAGTTTGATGTTGTTTTGTAATTTGCTTTAAATTTCATTTGTCAACCAAACTTGTAGCTTCTCTTTCCGGTACAAGTGTTTCCGGGAACTTCATCGTTTGATGTTCGCGGTTACTCCAGATTTCGTAAATCTGGAGCATCGCGTGGTCTCCATTACGCATGGTACCAATAGCGACGCGGAATGCCTCGTAATGCATGCTTGATATAAGGATTTCTCCAAGTAGCTTCGAGAAATTTCATCTAACCAAATACATCATTTTTGCACACAATAACTTTACAAATAAAGTAGCATCTGCAAACATAAGGCCGAGCTTGATAAAAACTATCGGTGTTACAATGGCATTCTGTTTTCATGGTACCTATCGCGTAATACGAAATTAGTAGAACGATAGAAGCCGGTATGTTCAGATGGATTCCGTGCATAACCAAATGCACGGGATCCTCGACGGCCTGATGGTGAAGGAAGCTTTAACTGGCACTAGCGCGACGCGAATCGCGATCAAAACGGAAGAGGAAAGTTTTCACTTGAGGCACACTAGCCTCCTCCCGCAAAGGATGTTGCTGCAATTCGATCAAGGGCCGTATTATTCCCAAGAACTTAAACAGAAACTACGTATATGTGACCTAAATTAGCGCAGAATACGAAATTTGTGTAATATCGAAGCCCAAATTGACGAGAACGAAGGGAAGACACTCACACTAGGCATCCCCGAGGTTGCTTTTTCTTCTTTTCCTTCTGCTTCTGCGGCGGCTTGATAACCACCCTGATCGCAGCATCGAAAACTGCTTTCACATTCTGCAATTGAAACGGCACAGGAGTGTTACGAAGTACACAATGAGAACATATTTAAGGAAATCTACCATGGACCATGGACAGTGAAGGCATCCAAAGATTCCGAATCTTCGACATTTTTTTGTCAAAACAGGAGGACCAGACAGGCACTACTGAAGAGAAGAGATTCATTGCAGGAAAAATATGACACATAGGCTCAAGAAAATTTTAGGGATTTGAGAAATGACTCAAGATTTCAGGAGACTGGCACTATGCTCATAAGACGTTATTAGACCAATCTCAAGCTTGGCCAAACGATTTGGTTGAGGAAAAGGAAAATCCGGAAAGCAACACTATCGTCCCCATATAATCTGGAAGTTGGTATTTGGTTGAGGAAAAGGAAACGCCGGAAACCTACGCTCCCATCCCCATATGTCTGGAAGTTGGTTTGACAGCCAAACTAGTGAATCGTACATCCGCAACTACTAAGTTTGGGGTCTTCTAATGCTTGCATAGTAATCAATTATCCGTTTTCTATGGATCTTCCAAAAGCCGGCACATTGTCTAGTTTTAATTTGACAAGAAATTAGTTGGTTTTATCTGAAAAGGCATGCAACTCCTTAAACTATGCGGCACCTTATAAACTGAACAATTTACTGGCCTATGAGAATGTAAGTACCATATTATTCATACCTGTTGGGTTTTTGAGCTGCATTCTATATAAAAAGAAGCACCAATCTGTTTGCGCAGCTCTTCACCCTGCTTATTTAGAAGAATAATCAGTGATATTACCCGTTGTTGCACGATACACAAAGCAATCTTTACTAAAAACTACACCTGTGCAGTGGTCACAGGTACCAACCCCGGGTGATCAGCCAAATAGTGCTTATCCTCTCGAAGATCTGCATATCAATTACAAACGAATCTTTAGTTCCAGAAGATGATATTGCTGACTCCAAATTCCCCTACCAGTTAAAACGATTAACGATACAATCTGCATGTGCGGTTAATTTAATGCTTCCCTGCATTACCATTGGTGCAAAATCAAATCCTATGTGCAGGTTTATGCGACAATTCATGATCGAATAAGATAGTTGTATCAATAGCATGCTCATTCTTTCCCTTTCAACATGTTTGGGTCTCACTCTTTTCATAGAACAGGTCAGACTTTTGATACACATGTATAAGAGTATCACTTTACCCACTCACAGAAGCTTTCGGGACTCTAAGCTCATCAAATCATTGGACAGAAGAAACATAATGGAAAAAATCGAATTATGAACATAACTAACTGTAACCAGAAGCCAAGTTTAACTCCGGACTGAGTTTGGAAAGTAGTACACGCATTGAGCTTACCTAATTTCGTGCCGGCAAGTACTACCGGCACTCCGGGAGCATAATGCTGGAGTTCAGGGATCCACTGGCCAAGAAATTTGAGTGTCAGAAATCATAAATAAAACACAACAGTGACAGATTAACAATAAAACGAAAGAAGAATAAACCAAATTTCTCAGGTGAATACACCTTTTTCAATACATTCTCATAGCTCGCACGGCTAACTAATGAGAAAGCCAAGACAAAGACATCTGCCCCTCTGTAGCTCAATGGCCTCAACCGATTGTAATCCTCTTGCCCTGTGAAACAAATGGAACAGATATGTAATACAACAAACTTGCTAAATTTGGCAAAACTATGTTTACATAAAACCCAAAAAGTTACAAACAAACAAAAACTAGAACAATTAACACAATTATATAAGATGAAATTAGAATTTGGGTTGGAGAGAGTTAAAAGATATCATACCAGCAGTGTCCCATAAGCCTAAGTTCACAGTGGTGCCTTCAACCACCACATTTGCACTGAAGTTGTCAAACACAGTTGGTATATAGTCCTGATCAACACAAAAACAATTGAAAAACAAAATCAAATTTTGGAAAGGGAAAGGGAGAAAAAGCAAAGCAAAGCAACTGAAAAACAAAATCAAATTTTGGAAAGGGAAGGGGATAAAAAGCAAAGCAATTTGTCTAGAGAGAGAGAGAGAGAGAGAGAGAGAGAGATTTCTGAACTAAAATCTTGAAAACAACAAAAAAAGCTGCAAACCCAGATGCATAACCACATAAAGTAATTGTTGAAAAAAAAAAACCACATATAGTAATCCAAAAAACCCAAAAGTCACACAAATTAGTCAAATTTGAGAGACCCAGATGGATCTTTTTGGCAGAAAAGAACATACAGTGGGAAACTTGTTGCTGGTGTAGCAAATAAGCATACAGGTCTTCCCCACAGCCCCATCTCCCACAGTCACACACTTGATGAACCTTGAAGCGCTTGAAGCCATTGGAAGCCAAAGAAAATACTCAGAGAGCTAAAATCCACACATAGAAAATGAAAAGAAAAAGAAGCGTTGTGGTTGGGGTGTTGGGATATGCACAAAGTTCATGGCTTTTTGATTCGGCGGGAGAGAGGGTGGCTCATCTCACATGATTCTTTAATCTTTACACTCATTCACTCTTTCCTTCCTTCCTGTAGCTGTTTCTTTAGCTTTTTGCTGTTGGGGTTACTTTAATTTCTCTCTCTTTGGTTATATATAATAAAGATAGATTGTCTGCCTCCCATTTTCATACTCTTCTCATCTTTTTTGTTTTGTATGATTACAGTTAAGCCACGTCAACATTTTATATTCCTATTACTTTTTGTTTTATTATTTTTATAAAAAAAAATTAATATAAAATATTGACGTGGCTTAACTGCGACCACACAAACATGAGGGGATGGTTCGCGGTTAATCCACTTTCATATATAATACCCAAAATAATGTATACATACGTTTCAAATTTGGGTTAATATTTTGTGATGCAAATGAAAAATAGCTTTCATTGTGGGTCTAGCACAATTTTATTTTATGAGTTTAGCAAAACATTTTCTATTTTTTTGTAAATTTACTTTGGAAGGTTTCTTGTTTGTGAGGGAATTGTGGAATTGCTAATATCCTATGTGAATATTTCAACCTAACATTGTTCATTATATGTAAACATCGTAATAAAATTCATAAGCTCTCAGATTTCGTTTAAGTGGTGCGTGTTGTGATGTGTAAGATAAGTCCAATATATGGAGAAAAACTTAAATACAATTGTCTAATATCTAAATTTTTCTCTTCGCAATGGTTTCCTTCCATTGCAAACAAAAGGAAAATAAACAACAAGATTTAATTGTAGTAATAGTCTCTGAATTTTACTCGTCGTTTAATTTAGTCCATGAACTATCATATTAGTTAATTTCTTTAGTTTTCGAACTTAACAATATGTTGTATGATTGGTTACTGTCACTAACGCCGTTACAATTCTGCACCACTTACACTAAATCTGAAAGCTTATTCATTAAGATAGATTAAAATTAAATTAAGGGTAAAGTCATCAGTTTATTAAGACTTCAAGGTTAAAACTGATAGAAGAAAATGGTATTAAGGCAGATTAAATATGGTGAAATTAATTAAGAACTTAATTATGGTGTTGGCATACGATGTAGCTCAAAAGCTTCTTTCAACTTTTGTCATATATATATATGACTCATATATCTTAAAATAAAATAGCATCGCGTAGGCAAATTAACTAACATAATGCAGGGAGCATTTTTGCTCACCACCATAAACATGGTGTAACTTCACCATACATAATCTAGGTGTTATGCTTTCACTTAATTTAGTTTTAATTTTTTTCAAAAATTGAAAAACTAACATTTAATTGAAAGTTAACTAGAGCCTAGGTGCAAGAACACGTGTCAATTGAATTAGTTGTAAGGTGCATACACCAAGTTTATGGTGGTGAGAAAAATTGCTCACCCAATGTGCATGGCATTTAATTATTTTATCTGCAAACGGAATCATAAGCACACCTATTGTGAAGATTGGATTAAAAGGATGTTATCATCTAAAACGTGGCCCTATCACTAAAGTTACACACCTACGCATGCCACTCTCATTATGGATTTGGCAGACAAATAAGGACCACAAATGTTATTTTTATGGGCTGCAAGGCCGGCGTTGAGGGTAGCCGGCTAAGGCGATTGTCTAGGGCCTTCCATCTCAAGGAGCCTCAAAAAAAAAAAAATATATATATATATATATATTATATGCTGTAGATATAATATAAAGTAATAAAAGTAAGCCAAATTTATCAAATGAGTTATTGATGTGGTGGAAATATAGTGTGTAATGTTCTTGGTGTCTGTTGTTTGAAACCATCGTGGTGTTGCTTTACGTTGATTTTTCTTCTTTACATATATATATCAATGAACAAAGGGTTAGGGGTCATAGAAATCTAGAGCCCCACTTCAAAGGCTCACCTAGGGCTCTCAAATTCTCAAGGTCGGCCCTAATGGGGTAATAATAGATATGGGGTCTATTGACTTAATTTATATGTTTCCAGAAGTGATTTTCGCACTATTCTTTCCTCTTTGTATGTTTTCCTTATTTTCTTCAAGTATTTAGATTGAATGAGTAGAGGTCGCACTTGGTGCGATGGCAAGTGCCTTCGCCCATGAGCGGTAGGTTCTCGGTTCGAGACTTGGAGCAGCCTCTCCATAAATGGGGGTAAGGCTAGCCGACATTCACCTCTCCCAGACCCTGCGTAAAGCGGGAGCCTTGTGCACTGGGTACGACCTTTTATTTAGATTGAATGAGTGAAGAATATAAATGAGTAATGAACATGAACAAAATGAGGAATGCAGAAGAAGAAAATACGAGTATGAAAATCATTATCCTTTATTTACTTAGAATTTGTGAATGCTTCAATTGTATTGTTCTCACTAGGAGGAAATATATATAGTCGGACAACCCTAATCACAATTAATCTAGGAAATAATCTAAAAAAAACTTATTAAGGAAATCCTCAATACAATCATTACAATATTTAACTTCCTACGCTAATATATTTGTGCCATAGTTTCTCTCGAAAACCTAACATTGCTCATTTGCTTATGGGACAACAAAAATAAGATTTCATTATCATAATCCTACATGAGGTAGAAAATTCAAACAACTGATCTCGACTGCATAAATAAATACTCTTAATCATATAAACTACAAACTTGTTGTATTGTAACCCATTTTTGTGAAATTAGAGACATTAAATTTATGGCTATGTGGGATAATTTAATAATCTTCTATCAAATGTGTTGCTTTTATTTCTTTGGGCCAAACAAAACAAGTATACCATGCCCATAAACATACATATTCAAGAAAGATTGAATTCATGTATGTATTATGAAGCATGGAAGTGCAATAAAAGCACACAGCACACTTTTGCAGATGCCCCAGCCACCAAGAATCAACCAATCTAAAATTTGAGATCTTATTGTGGAGAAGAGCTTATATGGAACGAGTTCACGATTACTGTGACGTCCTGGTCCAAATAACAATCAAATCTAATTTTTCGTCTTTATTTGTGATTCATGTCACAAATGTCTGTTTTATATAATGTTCAGTTTTGTTGTCATTATGCTGAAAAATGAATAGACGGAGTAGGATTCTCTCCCTTCTATATTCCCTCCCCTTCTCTCATCTCTCACTTTCCTCTTTTTCTTCTTATCTTTATAAAGAAGTCAACATAAAATTTTAACGTGATTCAAATAGGAAGAAACTAGAGGGGAGAAGAATTTGAAGGGGAAAAAAAATCCTATTCCGTAGTAGACTTGGGACAAAGAAAGAAAAAGGGAAAAGAGATGACTAGGTCGGGTTGAATTATTGCAGATTTTAAGAAGGGTTTGGTTGGTCGGACGGTGAAGTAAATATTGGGCAACATAATTAAAAGGGGTCACCCACAAAGTGGGTTAGATAAGATATAATTAGTTGAGGGAATGACAATTAGGAACTGTCTCTGATCTGTTGCCTGTCGACAATAAAGAGCGACTCTAGCTAAGAAGGTCTTTCACTTTGTGAGGGTCCGAGATGAACGTTTTTCTACATAACATTACTCTTATTTTGCAAAGAAGCTGTTTTCATAATTCGAACATGTGATAATGCGATAGTTTAAGTTTACCGGAAAAAAAAAAGACTTGAATTTGAGTACAGAGAAACGGAAACACTGCACTGTCCTAACTCAGATATGGAATTTCAGTTCTACTTTGTTGTTAAGAGCCATGTGTTTGTTACAGTTATTGATCTGCCATGATACATCATGAGTTTTAACATAGAAAGATTGTGCACAGTTCAACATTTGATTTGACATAATATTGTTCAACCACCATCATTCATTATTATGATGAGTAAAGCATTACGGGTTGTGATGTCTCCAAATAATGCTACCAAATGAAGGTAATAGTGCACAACTGTGAAAATTTGTTGCGTTGTTATCCATCTTCTACCTCCATTTTGGATAAAATTTCGAAATTCGCCTTTATTTTTCTTCAACGCACCATGAGTTGATATAGTGAGTTATCCAATCCTAGACACCAAGGTCTTGTTTGGTGGGCATAGTGGGATAGGTTATGGCCAATTAAAATGAACTTGAGTCCAGTTCATTATTTGTTGTGTCAAAATATGAGATGGGCGTGACTGGACTGGACATGATGAGTTATGAATTTACAATAGAGTAGGTTATCTAACATATCATTGTACATGAGTTTAATAGTCCTGTCAAACTAATCTATCCTAAGCCCATTCATCCAACCGCACCAATGTGTCCTAAAAGTATAAAACTTCTAGCAATAGTCTCCGAGGAAAACTAATGAAAAGGGCTTGAAAACTTTGAGTTTTAATGATAAGGACAAAATAAAGGGTAAAGTGAATAGTACCAGGATTGACTTTTTAGTTAAAAATGTGGTTTTTCATTAAAGTGAACAGTACTGCTTTTCGTTAAAGTTGCCCGTAAGTCTCGCGCGCGCTTAAATAGTTAAGAGTGCATACCACGGTAATTGAGGTCATATGGTTGACAAATCTTTTTGATAATCGTTTACCTGTTGGATAATTGTATAAACGGTTGACTATACCCATTTAACCATAACCGTTTACCATCAACATAACCATTTACCCGTTTTTGAAACCGTTTTATTCATTTTTTTACTCATTTTACCCATTTTTTCACCCCATCTACAATTTTTTTAAACAACTTTGAAAATTCAAAAGAAATTTTGTCATAATTTTCGTTTTCTGACAATTAAACACCATTATAAATAAATTTTAGCATGCATTTCCCTATTTTAATCATTTAAGTCTTTAATTATAATCCATATGATTACAAAGTAAGGCTTCTAAAAACAAAAAGTAGTCATTATCTTGAATACTAGATGATTCAAAGCTCCAATATTCGCGAAAACTAAACACTTTCGAACACTAAAGCTTTAGCACGTTTAGTCACAAAGTCTCACCGACTCGTTGTCACCAAAAGAGGCATACAATAGAAATGTATAAATTGAATTAGTATCCCATAGGAACACCAACACCAATACCAATTAGCATGAATCCAACAGAGATAAGTGATCACAGAGTAATATCCATAACCGATATAACCGTTATATTAAATTAAATAGGTAAATGGATACCCGTTATAACCACGAGTAATACCCATAACCG